AAAACAGGAGGAATCTGTCTCTTGTTTACTCCACTCTCCTTTCCTCCTCTTGTGTTCCACTAAACAGTCAGTTACTCGTGTTCTGAGGAGACTAGTAACCTTAGATTACCAAAGAGAAATCTACAAGGATATAGAATTCAGTGGAAGAGGACTGGGCAGAAGAGGATGATTAGATGGTCTAAAGGATGCTAATGAGAAGATGAGGTCCTGGGCCCAGCTGCAGAAGTGCATTTAGTTTAGCTCCACTAGGCAGTGGGGGTTACAGCTGGAAGCTGGCATCTGAAGGAATAACAGGAATCGGGTGCTATGATCCAGGAGGAGGAAGACCACCAAGAAGCCCCTTCCTCCAACAGTGTGGTACTTTCAACCAAGGCCTAAGTCAGGAGCCTGGAGCAATCAGATCTGAGGGCTGGATTGAATGGTGGAAAGTGAGGGTCCCCACAAGCCAATGAAGCTTTGGGGCAACAGGGACCCCTAAGACTGTCACTGTAAGGGAGGTGATTTGCATTTTGCTAATTTTTCAGGAGTGATTCCCTTTAGCAACCAGATCCACTGAGATCAAACATGGTGCAAACTACAATGGGAACAAGGAGTCTGTACATGTATTAACGATTTTCATGGATGGAAAGTACAACCAAAATGGGGTTTGAAAACTCTGATACATTTTTGACTATGATTTGTGGGTATTCTTGTGTGCCAAAGATCAAAAAATGATAGAAACTAGAGGAAAAGAAGTTAGTTTTAAGCCCACCGTGCAGCCAGAGGCAGGGTAACAAAAATAATAGCTACACTATATAGCCCTTTCTAGACGCCAAGTGCGTCTAAGCATGTCATGTGTATTGACTTATTTCATCTTCACAACAACTCTTGTAGGTAGATGCTATTATTATTTCTATTTAAAAATGAAAAAATTGATCCCAGAATGGTTATGTGACTTGCTTAACGTACCCCAGCTAGTTAGTGGCAGAGCCCTGATCCAAACCCAGGCAGTCTAGTTCCAGAGTCCACACCTTTTGCATCATATGGTGCAACGGGATGTCTTGTCCAGTGTCCCTAGACATCAGTCAGCACTACTTCTGAAAGGAGACTGACCTATCTGAATTTCAATATTAACTGAAATTAACTGCATCTCTTGGAATGTCGCTGCTTAAATGGCAACACTCTTCCTCAGGTTCCTCTACAATATGGCTGACATGCCCAGCAGAACAGCAAACACCAGCCAGTGACTTGGCTTGGGAGGACACTGGAGCTTCCGAGATCTCGAATATGGATATTCGGGGAAAAGTCATGGCCATGCATTGCAGGGCTCCTCTTTCCTCCCACCTCTCCAGGTTTTCAGGGGCAGCAGACTCCTAGGGCTAGATCTACGTCTACTATTTTCCTCCCACAGCAAGTTTCTTCCAAGGAAGGTATCCCACCATCTAGGTTCTGTTAATGAAGCATTTTCAGATGTGGTTATTCCATGTTTCCAAGAACATATATTTAATCTAGGACTAGGGCAGCCACAAGACAGGTGAAATCTAAGACTGAGAAAATAGGTAACCAGATGAGAGGAGAAGGGGAGATGGAACTAATAGGGCACAAGGGGTCAGCCCCAGGGTTGGTTGAAGTACAGAGGAAGGATTAGGACTCTGGGAAGGCTGACAGGAGCAAGGCAAGGGCCTAGCCCTGGACAAATGGGGCGGAGGCAGGTTGTCAAGGTTGTGAGTCAGGCTCAAGGGCAGAAGACAAGAACCCAACTATTGTAAACTGGGTACGAAGGAGGGTATTGCTCACTGACACGAGGCATTTTCCCACTGGCTGTCCTGGGGACTTGATATGACAGTAGGACAGAGGCATGACTGGCTTAGCATGGTGGAGTCCTGAATGCAGAGGATGAGGATGGGGAAGCAGAGAGCCAGGCAGAGGGTCATATCCACAGCCATTTCCCACCTACTTTAGGAGGAGAGCAGATGCCAAGTTTTACAGATGGCTAACCTCACTCTATGGCTGTAGACCTCGGTTGTTGCCTTTTGCCTCTCTGGTGGTTATCCATCTGCCTTACATATTTCAAGAGTAATTTTGATTCTTTTCAATGTCTCTTCTCCTTTTAGGCCAGATTTCCTAGATCTGAAGAAGAATTGCTCGAGGATGACCTACCTAACTCTAGGAATTACTCTTGTTCAATAAAAAGTCATCTTATAAATAAATAAATAAAACTTGATAAGAAGCACATCCATTCTGCCCTCTTCTCCACTCTTGGGCTTCTCGTCGTTTCACTTTTCTAGTTTCCTTCACTAATCGATACTCTGAGTTTTCCTCTCATCTTCCAGCACTCTATCAGACGATGCTCCACTGCTATTCCTAGGGTTTTCATGGCCAATTTTTTTCTAAAGTGGGTGGCGGGTCCTTCTTCCGAGTCTTAGTCTGGAAGCTCCACTGAAACCTGCCCGCCATGGCTGACCCGGTCGGTATTTGAAATCCCAGTGGCATAGCTTTCAGCATCACAGCAACACGCAGCTGCCACAGTATGACAACCAACAGACGGCTGGTGTGGCTCCCTGACTGGGAAATGAACCCAGGCCGCAGTGGTGAGAGCGCCAGATCTTAACCACTAGACCACCAGGGCTGGCTATTCATTCTTTAGTTCTGTTTTTATTACTGCCCATACTCCTAAACCACTTACCATTCCTGATTCACTGAAGAGTTTAGTACCCCTAGCCCTGTTGAACCCCTCCCTGACATAAATTGCTACACTGGCTGAGACTCACTGTCCAGGCAACCCCAGGATCCCTCTCTGAGGGTGATGCTACAGCCCTTTTGTGAGAGGGTCTGCCATTTGTCCCTGGTGTTGGCAGAGAGTTCAGGATGCCTCCAACCACTTTCAGCGTAACTCAATAAGTTCTGTTTACACAGCTCTCCCTTGGGTCCAGCTCCCTCTCATGAAGCATCTTTTCAGGGAGGGATGGAGTCTCATTTATTTTTTTGCCCCAAACAATATCCAGTACGGACATATCTGAGGCTTCACTGATATGTGAAAGCATTGACTCATTTTTTTGGACACCCTCCTTGAACTTAGGTTTGAACTTAAGATTCCTTCACATAATAACTTTCATAAGTGTACTACTTATTGTGTGAAAGCAATACTTTAATTTTCTAAAAAAAAAACCCAATTCAGAGATCATTTAGTGAGCATCAACTCCAAAATATGGTAAAAATGTTATCCTATTCATCCATTTATCCTATTCTGGACATAATACGTCCTTTCTTATTCTTTTTCAAGCCAAAGATTCTCTTGGTTTGTTTATTTTCATTTTCAAGAAGTAATTTCTTCTGATGTGCTTTTCTATATTAGTAAAAATGAAGAGACTAAATGTGAGTTATATTAAATATGTTTGGTCTTTCTATTATTAGGCTGAACTAATGATCCACCCCAGCAGGAAACGGCTTCCCCTCCTCTGAATTCTTGCAACTTGTCTCCTAAACAATTTACTTGGTTCTTTTTACATGCTGCTCTATTTCTGCACCTGCATAATTTTATCCAAGGAGATCATCTTTAGAAGGGCCTCTTGGTCTGGGGCTTAGCATGAAGCAAGAACTCACAAAATACAGGTTGTGAAAATAAATGAATGAAGGAATGAATTAACAAATTTGACAATAAGTTTCCTGACAGGAGATGTCTTCATATGGACAAGTCCCTCTTAATAAGTTAAACGAAGAAAGAGTTTTAGTGAACAATGGTGGCAGCACAAACCAGAGGATTTGGCTTTTTAAAAATCCTGGATTTATTCATAATCAGCATTTGAGGTGTAAAGATAGTCTTGAACTTGGTGGAATAATTTTGACTCTGCTTATGGTTTTTATAGAATAAAAAGACTCCTATTGAGTAGAAAGTTTGTGGCTTTCATGTCTTATTATTTTTATCAAACTTTTGGCTCTCTCTCCAAATGGTACTTCCGATATAATTGATATATCAGTTATTTCCCTTACAAGCTTTGTAGATGCTGGCCTTATGTAGAAATTCTCTAGACTTAAACTATAGTCTAGTCTTCCTTTACATTTCTTATAAGATCATCTTTGTAGAAGTAAATGTCAGTCTACGAAAGATAAATTTAGGGCAGTTGACTTAAGAAGTACGAGACTTTAAAACCGTATGTGAGTGTGTGTAGAGGTGTGGATGCACGAGATGCGGGGGGTACCACCAAATGACAGTGAATGTCTCTCTCCTTGACCTGTTTTAACCAAACTTTATTACTCATTTAATGGAGTTATGACAAAGAGTAGGAATCAAAACACATGGGGATCACAGAGGCTGTTATGTTTATTGTGCAGAACAGACAGTGATAATCCACTAGAGAAATATTTTCAACAAGCAAGCGATTCAAAGTACAATCATAGACAGCAATTCTACATGAAGAACAAAGCATAAAGTTAGAAGACACTCAAAGGAACGGGGAGAAAGTCAACTGCAGTTAAACGTCTTGATACTTTTCTCCTGCAAACGCCTATCTTGCAGAAATGGTAGAAAAGTTAAATGTCCAGTCTTACTTAGCCGTGACCAACAACAGCAAAGAACAGTTCTATAAAATTTATCTCCCACAAAAATAAACTATATATATATAAATTTTATGATGTTCTCACTGTTCCCTTGGCCACAAGCTTTTTTTCAGTATGAAACATGAGGTATACTGGGGCTTAAGAGGTAGCAGTGTGTTTTGATTGTACAACGTACAGGAAATAAAAGAGTAACTTCATCAGAGATGGAAATCGCTCGGTGCTCCGAGTTTGGCCAACACGAGCAACTGCTTCGGTTTTGTGCGCTGGCCAATGAGGTTGCATAAAGGCCCAACCACAGACATGGAATGGGACTTTTATTTTTATGAGCCACGGTGATCCCTTATGTAATGCACAGTTAACGGCAATGTTGAGTTTTAATTCTCTCCATAGCTCCTTTGGCGATTCACGACAGTGAGCCATCTGCCAGTCTCAGGGAGGTACGTGGCCTTTGAAACAACCCCCCTGAAGTGGCTGGAAGAGAGACGGTTTTGAGTTTCACTTGGCTTTGGTACTAAAAGCCATACTGACACAAGCCGTCATGAGAAACTACCTCCTGGCCCAGTTGATAATACCATGTTAAAAAGTCAGCACACTCACTAGGAGAGAAAGGAATAAAAACTCTACATAAGAAGCGCTTAAAATAAATCTGGCTGAGACATATTACAAAAATCACATTTGTGTAAAATACACGAAAATATTTGTCAAGCATTTTCTCATATTCAACTAATCTTAAAAACACATATTTTTGATTGCATCATGCAAAAGCTGAACTTGTTGCATCTCACCTACAAAGCTTCAAGTTTCTTTGAAGGTTGGCTTTATTTCGTTTATTTAGTTGCAAAAGTATGTAAAAAAGCGTTCCTTTCTATCAAATGTCTTATACAAAAATAGTTGCGACCAAGGATAGCTGCGATTTGAACTATTTCAAACATTGACAAAAATGAAGGCTGCAAGTAACAAGTTCATTCCTTTTGAAGTCTGGAGGTAGGTCTTTGCAAGTCAATGAGTCCATTTCCTTAAACAGTTCATTTGAGGTACAAACTTGGAGGGTTAACATTTAAACAGTACAGTCAAATTTTGTGTGACCTGTAGTGTGACCGAGGAAAATTATCCTTAAGAACCTAGGAGCGACTTGGTTAAAAAAATATTCAAGTTAATGTAGAAATCTAGCAGAGAAGCTGAAAAAATTATTTGTAAAATTTTAATTAAAAAAAAAAAACACATAGAAAAATACATAGCCATGCTGAAACACAGTAAGGAGACTGCTTCTTTAACTGTAATTAAGTGTACAAAAAAGATCGCAGGTGATCAGCATCACCCACCCATTCGGTTTTTTTCTTGCATTGCTTGTGGATAGCAGCATGTAATAAGTAATAAACTGTAAATTAATGTAACATTCAGAGGTAGTATTGAGTAGTGGGGATATATTGCATCTCTGGCTAAAAGTGCAGTTTGAGTGAAGCGATGGTGACCTGAAGCCAAAGAAAAGCGCCACAGTCCACCATCCTATGTCAAAACGCGTTACTTGAAGTAACACATAGGCTTAACTTGAGGTAAGTGGTATTTAGGTTTTTCACGGAAACTGATACACAATGACAAAGAGAGAGAGAGACTGCTTTTTGTGTTTTTTAAACTGTAGCATAACTCTAGCAAAAGAAATTTAGATTTCGCTCCTCCCACCTCATAATTCAGGTGAGTTCATCATGCATTATTCTGTTGTACCTTTTCATTAAATCACAAAGAGGATAATTTTACTTGTCTAGGTTCCTTAAATGCTTGGAGGCTGACAAGTGTGATTTATCGCTAAGTGGCATCTGGCTCTGTAGGAAGTAGATTCTACCCAGTTGAGTGTTTTCCTGAAAACGAGCGCTATGAGTAAATTTATTACTCCTGTGGATATGAGAGATATCCAGAAACACAGGAGGTGGCAATCTTTGCTTACTTCCCTTTTTGAAAAATGAACATAACCTTTTCTGGTTTGTTAGCTAAATGAAAGGATACATCAGCGTTTCGTCTCATTTAGAAATAAAAAGTTAAAAAATCATCAAGTAAGTGTCTACAAGATTATACGAAAAAGAGAGAAGTAGTTATCTAGTCCTATCTTTGGTGTTCTAAACAGAAGCTTCACTACTCGAGTGGGTCGGGTGGTGGTTGAGGCGTCCACAGCGGTACACGCTGTGCCTTTCCTACATGAATGCCCGGTGTCACAAGTGTGACACGTTTCCTGTTTGTATGCAGTGCAGTGATTGACTAAACCCGGTTCAGAGTTTTTCTTACCCGCCCACTCTTGCTTATCAGATCAACAAACTATTAGTAGGTTAAGAAAAAGAAAACAGTAATTAAAAGTTGCATTGTTAAACTGTGTCCCCTGTGTTTACAGCAGTTTTTCACTAAACCTGGGACTGTGAAGGGATTACAAAGAAGGTGATTAATATAGTCCTTTTTAAGGTTATGTGACTTCTCCCCCCCACACACACCCCCGTCCCGCCCCCACCCCCCAGATGAAAGTGGAAAGACCATGCCGATAGAGGGGAAGTGGTCACTGCAGTGTCTTCTCCCTTCAAAAGATCCAACTGCTGCTGAGGTAGAAATCGTACGTTGGCGGCCCCTAATCCTCTTCTGCAGACTCTTGTGAGGATGTCTCTTCAGTCTCCTCCTGGAACACACAAAGGACACCACTGTTAATGCTGTGTGCTTCACACTGCAGTTCTTACCAACAGTTCAGAGGTGACCTGTTCCCACAGCACATTATGCTGGCTTCAAAAGAGGATGCAGATGCTGGGCAAGGCCCTGGGTCCCGGGGCTTCTTAAACTGTAATTGAGGAATCAAGGTGGTGTTTTTCCTAGCGCAGTCATTAGCCATCGTTGACTTAAGGCTTGGCATGAAGGCGGCTGGTCAGCAAATTCAATAGTTTGCAGTCCAGAGGATGTCAGGCCTGTGTAAGCTCACTCACCAATTAGGAATAAAAGAAATGGGGCAATTTTTCCCGACAGTGTACCAGTCATCAGGTTTAAAAACCGGCATACAAGCAAGAAAAATAAAGTTAAGGGGATCCTTTCTCAAGGCATAAAGAAACCTGTCCTCTATATCAGTAATAATAGCTGATTCTTTTATGGTGTTGACTAGATGCTTTTGGGGATTGTCTCTTATTATTCCCACTTTACAGATGAGAAAGTCAAGGCACAGCAAGTAACGTTCCCGAAGTTACGGGGGGGCAGGGCCAGGATTTGGGCCGAGTCAGACGGGTGCCAGACCCTGTGTGTGACGGTGACACTACTGCCACCCTGCAGAAGCCGCATAAGCGCAGAAGTGAGGCTGCAAAAGGGCTGCGAGAGCTGACGACTAACTTCCTTTCCAAATCGGTTTCCTCCTTGTATTTATTAAAGTACATTTTGAGACAATGCCCAAAGTTTGGCATAAGTGCTCAATCTCAAAGCTAAATCCACATCAACCCAACATTTAATGGTGGGCTGGCCAAGCAGAGAAAATCTAATATATATGTTTTTGCAGGGCCTCCTCTTCATATAAATCTAATTCCTCCTTCTCTTTTCCTTTTTCTGATTCCTTACGGCTCTGGAATTCGTTGGAGTTTCTGCAAGCCAGCCTGAACCGCACAGCGCTCTTTCCTTTTGCTTATTTAACAAATGTGCACTACCTTTCAGGCACGGGTGGTAAAGCGGAGACAATAAACCTTTCTGATAAAAGCATCGTTAGGGAGAGGATGATTTTTATGAAATGCTGCACATCGTCTCCTAAGACGGCATGTGAAAAAGATCTGGGAGAAGAGGTAAACATTTACTCCTGCAGCAAACCAAGCCCCTTTAAGAATGGCGAGCTTAAGACAGCTTATAACAGTCTTCATAGTTTAATAGATTTGATTTTCCACATGGCTTCATTTTGTCTGGGTGGCTAACTGACACAATTTATACGTCTCTTCCTTTCCCAGGTCACTACAGTACACCATTCAGTAGAGCACGCCTTAAAGCTCGTCTGCATTATATGACCAAACTCCTATTCATTAGTGTTTGAAACACTTCAGCTGTGAAGGCGCTCCTAAATGCTCCCATGTGTGACGCTTTTGCGTAAAAGCAGCAAACGGGAGGGAGAAGGCCCCCGAGAGCAGGCACTCACACACTCACATGAATGCGCACACACAGCTCACACTCACACACGCTGTCCCCGGCTTTAATCACAGGCGGTTGCTTCCTGCAAACCCTCTGCAGAAGGTTTCAAACACTCTCCTCCCCTCAAGACCGAGAGAGCTGTAAATCCTGGGAATAAACACACATACAAATGAATGGATTACAGCTTAAAAAATAGAACCACAGCAGCATCAAGTCATGAGATTTCACACCGGTTTTGTTTAGTCTGCTTCGGGTTGTGTGGGAAATGGGGAATGGATGAAGCTACCTCCTCTCTGCTCCCAAGCCCCAAACTGCGGGCTTCACATATTTCAGCCGCAGGTTTACACCTCTTGATGGGCAACAGGCCATGACCTGAGATTCTCTGTGGAGTCCCGGCCACAAAGGAGGATGTAGCATGATCAAAGCCATGGACGGACGAGAGAGAGACAAGCCAAGGTTCAGCCGCCCTCTGACCCTGTCTTTTTACTTAATATTTAAATTCTAGAATGTCACTAAGCTGTTCAGCAGATACACTCTTCATCTGTCCCCAAATGACTCACTTCTCATTGTGACACGAGCTGTGGACTTAGGTTACTCCTCTGAAACAGACCACAGCGTAAAAGCCAGCAGGTACATTTTATTCCCTCTTCTCATGGTTAACAAATTCACAGAACTCAGGGATCTAGCTGTGATTATTCCATTTGGAACCACTCGATTTTTCTATACTATCTGGAAACCAAAGGACTTCCAAGGAAGGAAATAGGGTTTTCAGGCCATGAACTTACAAAGACCTTGCAGTAGACGGAATGTGATCAGCTTTTCAAAACATTCCCAGAAACTCTGCTTGAGTTGAGCTCTTGAAGCTCCTGATATGTAAGTGGTTTATTCAAATCCCTTAGACACAACTCAGCTGAAAATGATGGTCCCTCATATTGTTTCCTTTACTTAACAGTTCTTAACACAACATGGAGAGTTGTTTTATTAACGTATCTTTCGGCTGACCTTGCAATTCTTCTACTTGTAGCTGTCAGTTAGGACTGGGACATAACTAGGATGTCAGAGGCCCACTCCCTTAAGCTTTTGGAGGTAACATGGCTCTCACATGCTCAGAGTGATGGTTTTCTTGAATGTCTGGTTAGTGAAGAGCTCTTTCTTCTCGACACATCTCTGACTGGCCACTCTCCAAAGGATGGCGTGGCTGCCCAGCGGATGACGTTGGTGGGGCGTGTGGCACTTCTCACCTTTGCCAACCTCAGCTCTCACCTTTCCAGTGATTTGGCCTTTTGCTACACATGTGGTTGCTGTGACAAAAGTGTGCGTGTCATTAAGAGAAGAAAGGTCCTCCCTGTCAGGAATGAAGATGAAGTTGGAAAACGCACCCTCAGCTTCCCTAAGCGTCCTGGCTAGCCAGACTTCCCATGGGGCCCTTCTGTGGTGCAGAGTGGACAGAAACCGGGGATGGAGGGACAAGCCACAGGCTTGGACATCCCCAAGGAATCTATTTCCGTAGCAGAGAAGTTGGTAGGGACCCCTAAGAGTCAACCCTCTTCAGTCACTTAGAAGACACTGCCACTTACTGTAGACAGTAGCTTGCACCTTGAGATACTTATTTAAACTGCTTCATGTTTTCAACATATGGCCAAAGGACCTTCGAGCTTGTGTAGCCTTCACGAGCAGTTCTGAGGCAATAAGATTGAAGTACTGTAGCCAAGAGTTACACACATCTCATCAGGGGCTAGCGGGTGAGGTGGGAAGGCCAGACGGCAGCGGTCTGATCAAGGAGGGGCTTCAGGAATGTAGGATAAAAGGCCGTTTCAAAGTGGAAGCGCACAGTGACATTTTTATGAGCACCAGCCACGAAGGCCTCTAAACACTGAACAGTGCCCAGCCATTCACGTGGTTCCTTTCCATAGGCAAGTGGGGCCGCACAACGCTGGGGCAGAAAACTGACGACAGGGAAGGGAAGTGGGCGGAGGTGGAGAACTGTATTTCTATTATGACTATTGGAAAATTGCACTTATTTTGCTTTAGCTTTTCTTTTGTTCATGGAAAAAGGAATTTAATAAATGTAACTCTTTCACTGCTTTGGTTAAGCTTGGGAAAAAAACCCGTAAAACCTAGAAATACAGTTTGCACGTATCTCCATCATTTTAATTTGGTTCAATACAATGCATGTGGCAGATACCTTTGGGTAGATGTCTGCTAACTGATTACAAAGGAGGAAGAAGAGAGCCCAATATCCACCCTCCTCCCCTAATGCATGATCGGATTTTCAAATGTCTTCGGTTTCCTCCGAGCTCTCCCCACAGACACGCGTGGGGGAACGTGCTGGAGGAGAGTTCAGTATCTTACACAAGAGCTGCAGCTCTGGATTTAATTTTCAGATGCAGACCAAACAGCAGGGCTGCAGTGGAAGGGAGGCCAGTGAGTTCCAAATGGAACCCGGAAATGGAAACACTCTCCCTGCAAACTTTAGGAGTTGTGTCACCATGACACCCCTCTTTGTGTGTAGTAAGGAGGGACAAACCACAGAAATCCACGTTGGCTTTCATAAGTCCTTATTTCTTCTCCTTGATTGCCAAGAATTCTGCAACTCTTCTATTATAAAATGTTGCAGGCTAAAAACACATTTGTAATTTAAGCTATCTTGCCAATAAACCTACCAATACCTGGTCATCTAGAAAGGGTAGTTATGGTTTAATAACATACTCTCTTTGTCATCCTAATATGTTCAACTCCTTAAGGACTCAGAATGACACAGTTAAGAGTTTTTTACGTCCGTGAATATCTCGAGCCGGTCCTGTCGGAATAGAAATAATGGGCTCTCCTCCTCAGCAGCAGTGACCAGAAACCAATTCTTCAAGTTCCCTCTGCAGCTAAGCGACCCGCAAGACCACAACGCTGAGTTTTTCTATTTCTCTGTCAGATATTTTAATTTAAAATGGATTGGGGCTGTTGAACTTAATGGAAATAATTATTTCCTCCAACTGGGAAAACTTTATATCAGATTTTTTTTAAAAAACACGTTTAATGGAACATATATAAACCATATAATCTGGCAAGTGCAAGGGATTCTGGTGGAAATGCTAGGAGGGAAATATGTTTTTTTCAAAAAGAGATTTAAGAAGTTGGGATATTTATGGCATTTTTACCCCATCTTTTCTTTAGTTTAGCTTTATGTATATAAAAATATACAAGTATCAGGACTGCCTTGCATGCATTACCATCAAGTTAATAAAGTCAGTTTTAAGGTCTTATCAGGGGATGTTTAAAGCAAAGAAGGATCCTAGATGTCACTGTCCACAGGCACCACCCTGGCATTGACAGGTTGTGTGACTTGTGCCCTATTCCCACTCTGTCAGACCGGCAATAACAGCCATCTAGCTGCCCAGCAAGGCGTAAGAAAAAATGTGACCACTAAATGGGAAAACTTTGAAAAAGAGTGAAAATCCTACAGTGTGGAACTGTGCTTGTAAATGACAGTTACTCATTCTGTGTTTATTTCTTTATCTGTGAGTCAATGACAGATTG